TGGTTTTCTTCCACAGAGAAACCCTCCTATTGTAACTGCAAAAACAACTGCTATCAGAATGGCCAGGGCGTGAGCTCTGTGTAGGCACACCCTTAAAGTACTCATACACTGAAACTGGACTTTTGACTTTAGTCTGCACTTCCCTTTGCAGGGTTACTAGTCTCCAGTTTTAATTGAGTCAGGAGATCCTGCTTCTTACAATGGAAAAAGGTCAGTAAGACACTGAGTACTGAAGGACAGAGTGACTGTGAGCAAGGACCAGCAAGCATCCAGGCTGACTGACGCCACTTACTCCTCGCCACTGACTCCCAAGAATAATAGGTCACCACCCCTAAAGACAAGTGTGTTTTCTTGGCTTGGCTGAAAACAGGAACACCATTTCATGTAAGCGCTGAGTTCACAAACCAAAGCATTGAATTAGCAAAGCCCCACTGGAAGGAACTCAGGATGAGGGCTAAGGAACCTCAGGATAAACTTTCACACCGACACCTCCAGTCTAGTAGGGGAGATGTTTAGACAGTGCTAGTGAATTAATGTCACCAAGATTTTTAAATAAACACAAGTCTCTCCCTGAGGCTTCAAAGGTTACCGTGACTCAAGGCACACAAAGGCCACTCTCCCAGTGACCAGCAAATGCCATGTTCAATTCATGCTGTGCAATGTCCACAAGAAAAGTATCTCAAATAAAAGCCAACTCCTACTGGTCACAGAGATGTACTGCCTATACGAAACATGCAGCTAGGGCCAGCGAGAAGGCTCAGCAAGCAAAAGCACCTGCAGCCAAGTCCAGCAACCTGAGTTATATCCCTGGGACCCACATGGAAAAAAAAATTGTCCTCATGACAAAACGTGCCCCACCACTACAAAATAAACTTAAATGTAATTTTAAGATGTAGTTATTACTCTATCAAAGAGATAGTCTCTAAAAAAAAGGGACAGAAAAGCATAACTTTCTGCCAATTTATAAAAACACCAGAAAAAGTATGGGAGTGGGACTGGGGTGGAGGTGGAGATGACCAACACAGACAGTTTACATGTGAAACTGTCAAGGAATAAATATATAAATAAAAGATATCCTATTTTAAAACACCAGAGAACACGAAAAAGACAGCTTTGGTATTTTTGTAACAGAAATGCTTTTACACAACATAATATATGCATAGGTATTCATGTCAATTTCTTTACCAATACTTATCTTTTTAAAAAAGGTAGTTTGCATACAGTAAAAATAATTTTTAGCTTATTTTTGATGTACAGTTTTGTTTTTTAAGTGTTATCATCACCGTAACAGACAACGTAACAGACAACAGTTCAGCATTCACCTGACACTTTAGGAACTTGGCTTCCTGTGTGTTTGTGTGTGTGCCTGTGTATACATGTGTGATGTATGTGTGCACATGTGCATATGTGCATGTTGTGTGGAAGTCAGGGGTTGACGATAGGTGTCTTCACACAGAACTTACTGGTCAGCAAGTCATGGGGATCGTCCCATATAAACCCTAACAGCACTGGGGTTGGAAGCTACACAATGCAATATTCAGCTTTTTCTGTGGGTGCTGGGGTTCTACTTTAGAGCCTCTTGCTGTACAGCAGGCATTACCAACTGAGCCACCTCCACAACTGCTATATGTTTTTTGGGGTGATGGTGTGTTTATTGGGGGTTTTTTCCTAAGGCAAGTTCTCATGGAACCTAGGCTGGCCACTAACATGCTATGCAGACAAAGATAATTCTGAACTTGTGCTCCTCCTGCCTTTACATTCGAAGTACTGAGACCAGAGGTGTGTGCCACTATCTCTAGTTTATGCAGTGCTGGGCATGGACCCCTAGGCTTCACACATGTGGGACAAATATTCTCAGGCCCAAATGCCAATGATTATATGAATAAAGTTTCATTAAGATACCCATTGGCTCAGTGGAAGTGCACTAGCACCTCCAGAGGACATGGGTTCAATTCCCAGCAACCACATGATAGCTCACAACCATCTGAAACTCCAATTCTGGGAAATCCAATGTTTTATTCTGGCCTTTCAAGGCACCAGGCACAAATGTAATGCAGGCAGAACACCCATACACGTTATAAATAAAATAACTACCACACACAATTCCAGCTGTTCACCAATCCTGGAAGATATATAGTGATAGTTCATCACTGGTTAAGTACTTGTGAGTCTCCAGAAAACATTTAAAAATCCAACACATAGACACACACATACACGCCTTTAATCCCAGCACTTGGGAGGCAAAGGCAGGCGGATTTCTGAGTTCGAGAGGACAGCCTGGTCTACAGAGTGAGTTCCAGGACAGCCAGGGCTACACAGAGAAACCCTGTCTCAAAAAACAAAAAAAAAAAAAAAAAAAGAAAGAAAGAAGGAAACATACACTCCCTTAAACAGAGACCACCAAAGATAATTTTTATGACTCAAAAATCATCCTTTTTAAAACGTGTACTGTCAATCATTACTTTAAAAATTATTTTTAGTTGTATGTGTGCAAATGTTCTGCCTGCTTATGTGTATGTGTGCCACATTTACATCTGGTGCCTGGGGAAGTCAGAAGAGGGCATCAGACGCCCTGCAGCTGGAGTATTAGACGGTTAGGAACCACCATGTGGGTGCTGGGAATCATCTGGGTCCTCTGCAAGAGCACGTGCTCTTAACCACTAAGCCATCTTCCCAGGCCCTCAAAATCACCCTTAACACTGCACTACGCTCAGGGATACTGAAGTACACAGGACTCTTTTCTTGTTTTAAAATAGCTCCCAGAATTCTGTCTGGTTTTTACAGCTTCACATTTTCTCTCTGGTGCCACTTTTTGCTATTAACGGAGCTGCTGCCCCCAGCAGACTATCTTTTTCACCTCTCAGACAGAGTTGAGAAAATGGACAGCCAGGATTGCCAGAACTGCATCTACAAAGGCTAGAGAAGGCTGAGACAGAGCAGGCGGAAAAGGCAACATTGTCTCACCAGCACTGAGCGTGAGGACATGCAAACGCACAAGCACACACACACACAGAGACAGAGACAAAGAGAGACAGACAAAGAGAGACAGAGACAAAGAGAGACTGAAGAAGAGACTCTGAAGTAATATTCAATGTTTTACTGAATGTCTTCGCTTACTAAAAATACAGCCCTGTACAGTCAGCAAAAGCAGGCAATAAAGCTTTTTGTGTCTTAAATGTTACCTCCCATCACTAAGCAACATTAAACCAGGTCCATTTTCAGGCTGTCCCCTAGAGGTAGATCACAGAGAAACAGCTTCACTTTCCCCCTCCAAGAGCCCCAGGCTACAGAGAAAAAGTGAGAGGCACACACTGCCTCTCACACGAACTCCCTGAGAAATGACACGCTGTGTATCTGTCATGCTCCTGGGCCAATCACCACTCATCCAGCCGCCTCCACCCACAGACTTAAACACAACTTCACCAATTGCAACAGGGTCCTGGGTGGGACTTCCGCAATCATTTTAGACTTAACTACCACCATCTCAGCACTGCCAGCAGGGATGATCAGGAAGACGGAGACATGCTATGCTAAAGATTTTAACTCAAGCTCAGGTTCCAAAGAAAAGAGCAAGCTGGAAGACAGTGGCAAGTCTTGAAAACTGAACAGCCTCACCACCCCCAAATAAGTGGTGGGTTTTTTTTTAAATCATGAAAACGCAAGCTATCCAAAATTGAGGATCAGTTCGGCGCTCAGCTTTCAGTCAACCGCGGAGCCCTTGAGTTCTCTGGCCCAATTTTGGCTGCAGAACCTTCTGCCGACGGGACAGCAGAGGGCTGACAATGTGGAGCTCTCGTTACCCACCAATCAGGACTAGTGAAGGTCACTAAACACTTCCTGTGCAGCAGAAACGGCTCTCACAAGCTCCTGCCTACGCCAAACGACCCCCGAATTCTTCTTCCTGGTTCTGAACTACTACCTTCACATTAGACATACAGAACTGAACCACTGTAAAACTCACAGAACTGACAAGAGCCCATCTCATCCAGTTTACAGTATCTTGAAATCTAAAACCAGAACGTTACCATAGACAATTTCTCCAAACATCTCATTTACAAAGGTAGAGGAGTAGGGCATCTGCCTTCAGAATTAGAGACCAGCACCGGTCAATACACAAAGTTCCTCTCCCACAGCTTTGGAGGTTCTGTTTTCAGCTTCCTGTGCTTAAGGCCCTGGCAATCTACTCTCATTAATTATTCTACAGACTTCCAAGACAAACCTGTTGCTGAGAAAGAGCGGGTTAATTTCGACAGATGGGTATACACTTAAGGTTAAGGCCAGTGAGTAGCCTGCCTGCCTCCAAGAAGAGGGGAAAGACCAAGGATGTGGGAGATGACACCACCAATCCCACTTGGAGTGAGAGTCTGTCCACCAGCCTCAAGTGTCTTATGCACTCACAGTGTATGGGCCCATAGCAGGCCAGAGAGTAGGGAGGAATGCTGTGGGCAGACTTCAACCACACTAGGCCTAAAGGCCCGGGCATCCATCTTGCTCCAGGCCCCCTCTGCCAAGCTTGCAGCAAGCCTGGACATGGTGACACGCTGTGTCCCGAGAGGGGCCCTGAGAGACACTGAGGCCTGCTTCGAGGCCTTCCACGGGCAGGGGCACCCAAGTCTCAGTCTGGGACAGGCTGGGCTTCCCGGAACTAGTTCAGCGCTGACACTGGCCCAAAAGTCCTCTCAAGTCCAAGCCCGAAAAGACCCTAGGCCAAGCCCCGAACCCTGGCCCAAGAGACCCCGGACCCAATTCTGACCCTGGCCCCAAGGAACCTCAGACTCAACTCCGATCGCTACCCAAGCAATCAGGCCCAGCCCAAACACAAGCACGAAGAGGCCTGGACCCCAACTGTGACTCCTGTCCAAGTGACCCCAGACCCCAACCCTGACCCAAACCCAAAGGGAATCACCGTCCAAAGGGCACCAGGCCCGACCCTGACTCAGGCCCAAAGAGACCCCCAGACCAAGCCCTAAGAGACCCCGGCCAATCGGTTCCAGCCGCACCTTGACGTGGAAGCGGATGAGCGCCAGGCGGATGCAGTGGGCCATGCAGACCGGAGGCAGGAACCAGACCTTGGGCGGTGGCGTGCCCTTGTTCTGGACATGGCTGACGATCTGCTGCGCTGTCTGGCGCTCGTTGCCCTGCCGCTTGACCCACTCGTGCAGCCGGGCCTTCTCGAGCGCGCCGTTGAAGAAGACGAAGAGCTCGATGTTGCCTCCGAAACAGGCCTTGGCTAGAGCCGCCAGGTAGCCGAGCATGTGGTTCCACTGGCCGCCGCTCACCCAGTCGGTGTAGAAGCCACCGTACAGGCGATGCAGGCAGTTGTCGGCATCCACCAGCAGGCGCAGCGGGGTCTGCGGGGGCCGCTGCCGCCCGCCGCCCACCAGGCTGCCCCGGGCCAGCTTCTGCAGCTCCACCGGCACCACGGCGCTCGGACAGTGCTTCTCGAT